TCTTTACCCGACAGCACCTGGACCTTTGAGAGCCAGCAGGTGAGCAGAAAACAGCAGATGTTCAGTGAAATGTGTTAGGTCACTGTTGAATATATAGTTTAAATTGTGAACTATATCTATCGACTTGTTGCAGGACAATATTGCGATAAGCTAGTGTTATTATTTATATTATTAGTAGGAGTATTAATAGTAATAGCAGTAGCTTTACATCTATGATTTTATTTCAACACGAGTCAAAACGATGACCCACAATCGTTTATTCTGAGACACACATTAAACATAACATTCTGTAATGTTTTAGTTTTATCTAATACTCATCGTTTCGTGGTATAAAAGGTCTAAGTGGCATGCTTGTGTTCGTGTTTCTGAGCTTCATACGTGTGCGGTCATACCTGTGTTGTTTTTGTGTATATTTAGTACTTGCAAAATTGGACCTATTCGATAGCGCCTCCCCTCTTCATTGCTTCAAAAATAGAAACTGTCGATAATCCCTCTTAATCGAACAAAAACAGTCGCTTGTAGTGATGTTATGGCAACAGAGAAAATTACAATTGTGCAAGAATTAGTTGTGCTTTACACATCTCACCTGCATGTTTTGTATGTAGAGAATGGGCAGTTTAATTTCGCTTTGTTTTATTTCCTTGATGGAAATTGTTCTCTGTAAATGTCCGTTTTCTTTAAACGAATGGATAGAAGAATTCTGTGTAAATATAAATAACATAATTAGCCGGAAAATCAATTTTAAATCCAGAGAGATGACGTTGGATTAACAGGTCACACAACCAGCAGTGCATATTGGTGTACGGGTTTAATCTCAGTGCTGTTGCTGTGTCTTTAACGGCACTGCTCAGCTTTCTTCCTATTGGATGTCACTGTGAGACGCTCTGCTCCAATAGTATACAGAACTGTACAAAGAGATCTACCTCCTCCCCCTACAGCCTCAGCATCGTAAACGTTAACAATGCAACGAGCTGGAGGACGGTGTGATGCGCTCGTATTTCGAATGTTGAGAAAAAAACAGAAAATTAAGCGTCAGACATGAAAAACATTGGGTGTTGTATTTTTACGGATATAACTAACACTCACTGGAACTGGATATTCACTTTGCTTTACTTGATGGGAAATAACATGTTGTAACGGACCGGGGATGACAAAGAGAATGAGATACCGAGACTGGAGATGGCTGGCTCTTTGGTGGCATCATTTCTTTCTCTTGTGGAGTACAATAGACGGACAGACTCGTTACAGTATCCCCGAAGAACTAAAACAGGGCTCTGTGGTAGGAAATCTTGCCAAAGATCTGGGTTTGGCGTTATCTGACATTTTTGACCGCAGGCTGCGTGTCGCCTCTCAGGCTGGAGAGCAGTATTTCAGTGTGGATGCGGGGAAGGGCGAGCTCGT